CCCATACTCTCAAACCACCGCCGCTCTGCTCCTGAGCATCTCATCGCCCTTCCCCTCACCCGCCTTTGCTTCGACGTTACCCAGCCCCATCATTCTTCTCTTGACCTATTCCCGCGTCGCGAACCCTCGGCCTCCCCGCTCACGCCTCCCCGCTCACGCCCTTCGCACCATTGCCTTCACACCGATTATTATTCCCCCCACCCACCACACCCTCTGCAATGCCCTTCCGATCGCATCTGTGGCCCCTCGCCCTCCTTCTTCTCTTCCTCCATCTCCTTCCCGCCGCCTCGTACACCTGCCAGACCCCACTCACCTTCTCCGAGCACCGTCTCCCCGCCATCCTCCAAATCGAAAACGTCTGTTCCGACAACATCGTCGCCATGTGCCTCGAATTTGACGGCACGGTCTATCTCATCCAAAACATGAACCCCACCACCGTCTACACCGTTCCCACCGCCCTGCAAGACTGCTGGGTCTTCCGCGCCTCTGACTGCGCTGGCGAGATCCTCCTCGAGCACGAAGTCACAGGCACCCGCAAGCTCACCGTCGGCTGTACGATCGAGGCCACCGATGCCAGCGCCCTCGACGTCTCCAACTCCACCCCGCTCGACTGCAGCCTCACCATCACCCCCAATCTGGCTGACGTCTTCAACGCCACCAGAGACACCCTTCCCGCCGAAATTGCTGCAGATATTGACGAAGAAGGCTTTGCGGATATCAACGCACCCATGCAGTTCGTCGACAAGAGTGAGCTTTTGAGAGGCATTTACGAAATGTGCTTCGACCTCGCCCGCCATGGCATCGATACAAACTCGGCCTTTAGCGTTTTCGGACACGTCCGTGCTGTCATTTGGCACACAGAAAGTTGCCACCCGGAGCTTGTCGGATCCACAATCGGGTTCGCCCAGGCTTACCTCGGTCTTTATGGCTCCGCCTTTGCTCTTCTCCACGCTTCCAACCAGGTCGCTGGCACATGGGTTGAGAACCCCATAGCGCTCACCACGGAACAAGAAGCCGCATTCCAGGCAATTATTGACTATGCAGTTGATCTCGATGTTTCTCTAGACTTGCCCACTGCTGCAATACCGACAGCATTACACGGACTGCCCTCAAATGGCAATGTTACAGTTCGGGCCCCCGCTCGAAAAGCAAGGAGGATGCCTTCGATCATTCGCCCTTCGGGTCTGACAGGTGAGGAAATATGTGACTTTGAACATGTTGGTCGGTGGAGGTTCCACAAGATGTCGAGATTTAGTGTTGCGAACTCGTCGATGGACTGCTGCTCACCTGCGTGTTTTACGTTTGGTTCAATCTCCAGGTTTATCACCCGCCCGTTTACAACTAACTGCTGTCTGAGCTGCAACATGGCATTGTGCAGCGATGTCATCCCCTCTCGCACACTGGCCTTGATGCAAGTTGGAGAGGTACAGCTACCAACAAATTCTACAATAGAGTTGAGACTTCCTATCAAGGTGATGCTTTAGTCAGTGTTTGCGGGGTATGCTGTGATGAGATGTGGGTCGTTTGTGTAGTGTTTATGTGCAGAGCCGGCGCTTCTCTGTGCCACGACTCCCACACCGCCCGTGCTCTTTTGATTTGGTCCAGGCTGCGAGGTAAAAAACAATTCGTTCGTATGAAAGCTTTTGCTACTGCTGAAGATGGACAAGATTTCTTAGCTAGGACAGAACTGGTCCCGATGGTAATGAGCGTACCCGCACAGAAGTGGATGGCTCGCTCGGATCAAGAGCCCATATTTCTATCGCAGTACACTTCCTCACAGAAGCGGTCTCAACTCGAAGAAACGGCATTTGGTGTTAATAAAACTATAAGTTTCTGTGCTCGCTTGCATCAATCAGTACATGCATTATTTTAGAAGATAAGGTCGGGGCGGCCGGTTGCAGCGAGATGCAACACCATACTTAACCAGACTTAAAAATTTACTTGAGCTCCTCTGTTATGTAATAAATATGTTGCCACCTGCCTGTTGGACGGGAATTTATCAGCGACGACAACCACAACACACGGTCCCCATCGCCGACAAGGCTGCTCCACAACAGCAGAAGTTTGTTTGAGGAAAATTCATTCACACCAAAAAGTAGATTAAAGTGTAGGAAAAAAAAGAGTTCGCCAAAACCGGGGAACTTGACCGACTACACCAAAAAATTGGCTGTCTCGAGACTCTCGATGGGAATTTTCCAGTCCGACCAATACAGGCAATGGGCAGGTGGGCTTGCAGAAAGGAAGGTTGACCGAAGGGAACGCACGATGGCATGGTGGGGGTTATGTTCTGTAACGCTCTGCTCAGCTCAGATTGGTAGGAGCAATGGCTCGGGGCTTTTAGGAAGGCAGGTTTCAAGCGGGCGCGAGCGCAGTTGCTCATGCAGTCCATGAGAATGGAAAAAATTATTAAATCGCCTTTATCATACCTCTTGATCACGCTACATTCCCGAATCCCGAAAAGTGGCACTTTTGGCATCAGCCGTCGTCGTTTTGTCTGCTGTGCACAGAGAGCAAGCGCAATTTTTGATCCGTTCTTCCCCACTCTCTTAGCGACTCCGTTTCCGCATGACTGTCTAGGAGCAGAACTCCAGCAGCCACCTGCCTGTGAAGTTTAAGGGTCCATAGCCTCTGGAGCCAGTTTCGGGAATGATGCAAAAAGGGAGATCTGTAAGTGCCGATCCCTGGAATCAGTCAAACGGTGGTCTCTGCTTTGCTTGCGGACAAAACGATAAGAAACGCCCTACTGTTGTGGTTTCGCTAACAACCAAGCAGCTGCAAAAGAGAGAGTCTATTGAAACTGGTCCCTCCGCAAACCCATTCGATGGAAAGGAAGAAGGCCCAATTTCACTGTGCACTAGTTGTCGCTCTTCAAAGATTGAACGGAATGTCATTTGTGATGTGCCACGATATGGTAATAAAGCACGGTCTGCCTTGAAGTCCTGGAACGTGCGAGTCTCTCCAAACTCTGGTCGACGCTACAGTCCTTATTACATATGCACCCACCTTGGTCATGAAGGACAGTCTCAAAACCTCCCAGCACAAGACATGGAACGGACTAAAGCAAACCTACAACTTTTTTCTGTACTTTTCTACAGCCCAGAATCGCAGCATTGCTTTTTTGAAAAATTCGGAGCACGTTCTGGTCTAAGACTTGAGCACGGTTGAATGTTGCTGGCTCAGATCGCTGAAACTCGATTCTGTTCCTTACACCACAACCAAACAAGACATGCAAGCAGTGAAGCAGCCCGCCGTGAGCCATCGCGTTTTGGCACCAAAGGTGGCTTTTGTGTTTTTAAGGATAGAGGCTGTTGTTCGTCTAAAAATACACTTAGACCCTTGCAAAGGATGACCACAGCCACGTTGGAGGACGCAGAAACTTTATTCGAGTACGGTGAGGCTGTCAACATTCATTCCTCAGGACGTTTGACGTATGAACAGGTTGCAGGAAGACAGACATGTGGGCATTGTCGTTACGTGGTTTCGAAAGGAGCGCAAGGTATTCGGCAAATAAACGACAGCGCCACTCTGAAGGACGCAATAGACAGATGCCTAGTGGACTGTGTTCTGTACGCGTTGGACAAAGACATTCATTCCTCAGTTTTCATGCGCGTGAATGAATCTGTTTCTAAAGCAGCAAATGAGCTCAAGTTACGAGTTGTTTCTCCCTTCCCGGAGGATCCAAAATCTCGGTTTCTACCTATCACTGCAGTTTTCAAGTTTCGTCGAGAGCTTTCCGCACATAGCTGTTTGGGCAGTTCAATATCGAATACAACAGTTGAATCGAGAATTGGTCCGGTTCTATCATCTAAGAACGTCCACCTTTATTCCCTCTCTAGAAATTTCAGGTGTTATGCAGCTGCTGAGGCACTGCCACACAGCCGACGTGGTCATGTCTCTTGGAAAGGGGGAGGAGGTTTCGTTCATGGCGCAAATATCTTGCATATGTTGGGAAGCGGTTTATGACACGTAAGGAACAGTATCGCAGAGGGGACTGGTCTTTGTCCGACGAAATTGTGCCAATTCCCAAGCGGTTGTGGTCATCTTTAATTATGGATATGGCATCTGAGAAACAGCTACCTTCGTGGAAGGTGACTGCGACGGTAAGTGATACAAGCGTGGTAGAGGTCTTTCCTGTATCGAATTAATCTGCGCAAATGCCTAGGGAACAACTGGATAACTTTTCACAGCGACATGCTGCGACCCAGTCTTCCAGTGGCGGACTAATAGCCAGACCTGACTACCTTCTGTGCATTCGAGCACTCAAAGTTATTGAGCAGGTGATTTTTTCGCGGTCTAGACTATGTGTCGGTCCCCTTATGATGACACTGTCCATAGCGGGTATTGCGGAATCTACTGCCTCTTGGACCAGTGTCCTCCACGCACTCGGTTTGGTAACCTCTTGCGATTCTATGGAGTCCTTAAGAAAACATCTCATCGCTGAGAGAGAGAGTTCGCCGAGAGGCGCATTTGACAGTATCAATACCAGTGACCGAGTGGTTTCTGTTCAAATAGACAACTTTGATATCCTTCCGCACCACAGTGTGAAAGCATTTGGTAAGGCACTGCCAGTGGTCAGCGGCACAGCAACTCAAAGTGTTGTGCAAACACGAAAGCCTCCGCGTGCACCTCCAGCTCAGATGAGTTCAACTGTGAAGCTCTCCCCTAATTTACAGTCTGCGGTGAGTCAGAAAGACACAGAATGGCGAGATCCAGTCAGAGTTCTTGGCAATCGCTCTGACTTTGCATCAAGCTTTAACTCTACGGAAGATCAAAAAATTCTGGATGACTTCTTCGACTTAGTTTATGGAATTGCTTTGTGTCGCAGAGATGATTTGCTCGGTCTACCTCAGGCCTCACGTGGCTACAAGCGAAGAAAGAGGATCAAGCCTTACAAAAATCAAGGGATCAATTTCTGTACATTATTGCCGTCGTGCTTCAAACCTCACGGTGGGTTGAACAGCATTTATCCCTCCCTTTACGGCCAAGATGTCGTTGTTGTCGACATCAGCCGTATGAGTGCTGCTGATATCCTGACCATACACCAACAGTTAGCACTCGTTAAGCATGTACCGCGGCCAGGCGAGGATGGAAGCCCGAGGTATATCGTCGTGAGTGGAGATCAACCGACGTACCGAATGATTGTCAAAATATGAAGGAAGTCCTACCTTGAGTCGACGAGAAACTGAAGCGACGGACGCGCACAGGAAGCAATACTGGGAGACCTGCACGTTCACTAATGGTTAATCCCTTTTCCGGGGTTCTTTCACGTTGAAAAGCAGAGCCTATATCCGCTCTGTAAAGAAATGCTACATGGACTGGGCCTCAAAGAGCTCGCTGGATGCTGTGGCCTTTCGCATAGCCAACTCGAAAACATTCTTAAGCACAGCCATGCAAGAAATAATCGAGCTGTTCTGTTCAGCATTTGCGCTGCTCTGGTCATACACACAACAGATCTTGTACAGGCAGGGCCACCCGATTTGAAAGATGCAATAACGAAGATTAGGGGCTGCGAGGGGCGGGCTCGAGAACGACCATCGACCAACAAGAATTCAAAGCTACTGAGATGCACTAGTGGATTAATAAGCGAATCGATGGTTCAAGTCGGAAGGCTTCTTCGTAAGAGTGTATTTGATTTATTCGGGAATGACCCCAATGGAAAGCATATCATACGAACTGTTCTGTTCACATGTCTTCTTCCTACTGTGGGTTTTCATGAGCTTTCTTGTACTGGCCACACTGATGTCATTGATAGCTTCTGGCTGCGCCTCAACAACGTCTTACACACTTCCGGACATTTGAAGTATCAAGAACTGTATTTGTTCTACTCCGTCTTTCGATCTATCATGCCCGGAGTCATTTTCGAAGACTTATATACAAACAAGCCTGGCGCAATGGTGGCTCGTGCTCCTAGTTTTACTACTCGTTCAAATCGTGCTTACGACGACCGGGGATGGACATATATGCATCTGGATGAGTTACTTGAGATGCTCATCATTCGGCTAATTAAGGCCCTCAACCAGGTTATGCTGCCGTACCTTGAAAGTGCAGGAGCCTGATTACTGACTGTTTCTGGGGCGAGACTACGAATCAGAGGTGTGACAGATGCACCCAGATCTTACAAAAGGCGTCGTAGCGAAGATGCAAATGGGGAGGAGTCTGGACCACTCTTACAGTATGACAAGAGTGCAGTTCAAGGCAACAGTGTCCAGACCATGTGGCAGCTCATGAGAGAAAAGGGATTTCTAGGGCATGACCACAGAAGCTCAAACCGTCTCCAAAATGTGCTAGGTGACGCTGTCGTCGAGCTAAAAGATGAAACGCTACAAGAGCTGATTATCAATGCTGAAAGCTACGGGAAAAGGACAGTAGAGCTTCATTCGTGTGCGGTGCTCTCAGATGTGTTTGGAAAGCTTTCAGAGAAAGATTATGAGAAAGAATTCCATGGGAAACGCTTTCGGGGAGTATGGACAAGGGCTCGGAAAATTTGCACTGCGGTCTTTGCCATGGACTCACAGAAAACAGAAACATCTTCGCATGTAATGAAAGCTGTAAGAGATTCAAAGAAGGCATTTTCTGACCGCCGGCATATACTTACCAAACTCATGACAACCCTTACACTTGCAGAACATGCTGCGACTA